GACCGACTGCTTGCCCCATTTGGGTTTGTCCAACGGTAACAAACGAAACAACAAATTTCCGCCAACAAATTGAGTTGAAAATTTTGGAAAAACAATCCGAATATATTCGGTCTTCCTTTGTTTAGCTTTTAACGATGTTCCGATGCTATATATTCCGATGGTATATATGGGGATACACACACGAGATCAGCACAAACAAGTATATCGTTGTACGGTCTGTAGTTTTATCTCACAGCTTTTATAGTCTTAATTAAGGAAAATCCGTTTTTTATGCTTTTGCCAACTAAAAATTAATTTCATTTGTGGTTATTCTGGCTTTTCTTTGTATTATTAGCACAATTAAATGGTTTTTACGATTCGGGTTAAAGCAACAACCGCTTCAGGCCTTGGCCCGCAAGTCGATTGGGGAATATTTTGGCAGAAATACAATCTAATCACCAGAATCCCCCAGTGCCTTTTGAAAATCAATTATAATTCCCCTACATGAGCCAATAGGGCTACTGGCAGAATCAAAGGATTTTCCGAAAAGTAAACGCAAGCTTCTGCCAAAAATTCGTTTTCTTTGGTCTGCCGTGGGATTTCCAGGGGTTCGCAATTAGTGGTTTTTTCAAAAAACCGGTCATCCAGTCGCCTATTGGCAGTCATATCTCGTTAAACGGGACTGTTAACTTTTTCGCAAAAACAAGCTCTCGAATCGAACGACAATTTTTCAAACGGGAGTTTCGAACATTTTCCAGACTGCCAACTTGAGTGTTTTTTGTGGAATGTTGCACATTCCTTCCGCTTTTTAGAGCCACATAATCATGGCCATAACTTTAAATATAGCTGCAGAGCTGCAGAAACATGCCTAGAACCTCATAAACGTATTTTTCGAAAAATTATTATCGTGGTGTTTTGATGGGCTTCCCGTCTGGTGGTGCTGGGATTGCAACTTTTTATGAAGAATATGTATATTTTTTGGAAGGCAGTTTTCTGTTTAAAAATGTATAGGAAATAAATATCGATTTTTTTGGGGTTATTGTTAGTTGCGTCTTAAAACAATTGCTTTAGGAGTAAAGTTTGTAAGTTTATTAAAAAAATTTACAAGTCTTTATTTTAAGCCACTTTATAGTCACTTGAATAATATAATTATATTAATAAGTTATTATAATATTAATAATAATAGTTACTTTAATGGCTATTAAAAGTAAACATCCATTTTAGAATACATACTTATGCTTTGTAATATTCATTGCAACTTTAAAGAAATATCAATTTAATATTTTAGACAAAACAGATCACTTAGATGATTTAAAATGTAGTATATAATACCCGGTACTTGTACTGTCTTTTTTCGCCCTTTTTTGTATATTTGATAAAACAATATCTTCAGAAATAAAGTTAAAACTAAGTACACAAAATATAATAATTTAAAAGTATATGGTATCCGGTACTTCTACCTTCAGTTACCCTATTTTTTAATAAAAATATCTTTAGATAAAAACTTTTAATTGAAAAGTTAAATCTACAAAAAAATAAGTTAATAGTTAAATCTACAATAAAAATACAATTTAGAAGTTTATTTAAAAATAAAGAATAAAATTCCCGGTACTTATAGCACCTTAACTACCTTCTACGGTCATTCTAATAGTCTCTAAGAACTAACTTTCATCTAAAAAAAGAATCTTAACTCTAGTTTATTTCTCAACAAAATTATCTCAAGATTAAAACCTGAAACCATAAATAGTCTAAAATAACTCCATAAGACACACCTTGGAAGCGCACTTAAGCTTTCAAATGCCTGCAATTAGCGAAGCACTAGCTTTTCAATTATTTTCCCGCTGTCAGGCTGACACCACGTTGCGTATGAGTAATATTTAGCTTAACGAACGACCCGACTGCCGATATTCCCAGGTGTTGTTGTTAGCAATTGGCCAACAAGCCTCCTTGACAATTCAATTGACTCAGTCTGGGTGTGGGAAGTTTTTTGTTTTTTATTTTTTGGTCTGGCTCTGGGTAGATTTTGTATTTTGGCTCTCGCGAGTCCAATTGATTGACGGGCAGCTCCGGGCCGATTACTCATACGCAGTGTGGCCCCACTAACTGCCGGCCGGTTGTTAGTTTCGTTCGACTGCCGCCCGTTCGAATTGCTGCCTTTTTGGAACCAGTCGTCGCTGCTCTGGCAGCTGCCGCTGGCTTTTCCATTTCATTTTCCTTCCACTCGCCCAGACTGCGTTAAATTGAAATGAAAATTCAAAATACAAAAAAAAAAATAAAAGGAAACCAAACACTGCTACCGGAAAGTTCAAAGAGGAAAAGTGTACAGTTTGTTGCATACCCTTTTCTTGAAATGTTTTCAAAACAATGCGGTTCTTTATGTCTTTATGTTTTTCTTAAAATATTTGAGTATTTTCTTGAAAGGTTTGGTTTCATTGTCTTGCAAAGGTCTGGGATGGTAAAGGTTAAGAGCAATAAGGGTTCCGATGAGAGCTCTTGGCTTAAAGGGTTGATTTTTCACAAAAAGACAGTGTTTCTTTCTTGAAAGTTTATCTTAAAATCAAAGCTTTAAAGGTTTAAGCTTGTTCTTATAGTATATGATAGGATATAGCTTCTTACAGAATTACTTTGAAAATAATAATATATTTTAAAGATGGTGAATATGAGGCCTATAAAGGGTCAAGGGTTAGAAGCTAATAGAGAATTATAGCACGTAACAAACTTCCCATCAAAGGAACTGAATGGTTTCTTTTGAATTGATGTTTTTATTTTAAAATAAATTATTCACCATGTTAACTACTAATTTATAGCTTTTTTAAGACGATAACTAAGTCATAATTTAGTCACCACATTGATTAAAGTATGGTATTATTAAAAAAATAATATCTTGAAGAATATACTGGTACTTGACGCATTAAAAAGTAACACAATAAATCCCTTTATTCTAACCTTTATCTACTATCTGGCATTGCTAATAGTCTCGGAGAATAACCTTTCTTCTAAAAAAATAATCTAAACTTTTAAACACAATTATAGTATTGATATACAGATCATATAAGTGTTGATTGAACACTTTCCGATCCAAGCCCTCCAATCGAGCCGTACCTTGCACGGCACCGTCTCCCTGCCGCAAGCCCTTCTTCAATTACACACTCGAGAATTCCACGACTCTTAACTTGGCTAATATGCTTGGCGACAACCGCAAGTGGATTACATTTTGTGGCTACACTCATGTGTTTGTTTTGCCATTTTGATAAACAAACTGGCCTTGGACTGCAATCGGATTAATAACAAAGTCAAACTAACTAACAAATAATCCCAAAGCTGGTTGTAGGCTTGATATCTTCAGTTCTTGAGAGAAATGGCTCATTGGCCGAGTGCCAGATGGCCACGTGTGTTTGGGCCAACTCTGCTCCTACCGACGTCCGAATGCGTTATTTTCAATGCCTTTATTTATTGCAATCGATGGCCGAGGAGGGGCAGGCGGTCTGCGGGCACAAAAGGCTAATTGCAGGCAACAACAAAGCCCAGCGTCATTCTGGCCTGGTCTGCATTATGCTGCGGCCCATAGGTTTCATGTTGCTATTGTTGCCTCGCAGCCCGATGGCATGTGTGTGTAAATAGTTCATTGAACTTTCCATTTTATGCTTCATTTGCGACTCGAACAAAGCAAAAGAAACGAGACGGAAATGGTCTGGCAGAAAAGCCTCTTTCGCAATACCCTTACCCATGACGAATTATTTATTTAAATATTACATTTTTAATGGATCTTGGCTTCAGAAACAACGTATTAAAATGGTTTAAAATTTGCAATAAATGAACACTATAAACATTACAAAATGTAACTATTTTAGATAAAATTTAAAGATAAAAAGAAACTTAAAACTAAAAAAAATAAAAATTTAAACAAACGAAGTTGTGATTCGTAAGACTAAACAAAAAATAATTAAAAAAAAAAAAAGTTTAATTTTTTTGTATTTATAGACCCCTATTAATTTATTATTTTATTTTATTAAAAGCCTTTAAAACTAATGATAATGAAATTATATAGAATCGATCGGTAACAGAAATAAATCGATCGATACTAAAATTTTAACTATTACAGCTCAATCTATAATCGATATTTAATTCAAAACCATCGATATTTATACTAGAACTAGGATTATTAAAACTTAAGCTAAATTAAATCTATTGATATTAAAACTAAAACTTCTTATTACAAATTGAACTTAACAACAAATATTAAATTATCTATTACAGATATTAAAACTAAAGGTTTTTATTAGTACTGAATCTATCGATATTGAATCTAAAACAATCGATATTTAAAGTAAAACTATTGAAATTAAATCTATAAAATATCGATATTAAGTCTAGGACTATTAAAATTAAACAAATAGCGATTAAAATTAAAACTTTTGATATTTAAACTGAAAAATATCGAATTTAAAACTAAGAATATCGATTAAACTATGTAATCGATATTCTTAGTTTTAAATTTTTAGCTAGGGTAGTTAGGGGTATCCTTTTAGTTACTCTATTAGTTTGGGTATCTTTATAGGTTCAGGGTTCGAAACTCCACATTTTTCCCGTTCCTCGTTTGAATATTTCTGTAAACAGCTATACTCTTTTCCGTTGAGAGTATAAATTGTAAAAACTAAAACCGATCGGAGCCACAACAAAGGCCAGGCCGGGGCACTCATTCACGGCTTTTCCAACAGCCACTGCATTGCCATTTTATTATATAAACAAAAAAAAAAATAGTCAAGACAACTCTTGGTCTGGAAACTCTGTGCCTCGACTATTAAGTTGACAACGGCTGTATTTTTTGTATTTTAGTTTTTTGCCTTGGCGGTTCAATTATGGCCTTACAGTTATCTAGCCATTCACAGCTCGCCACTTACATAAGACACTTCGAAACAACAACGAATATGCTGACACTTACACTAAAAAAAAATAAAACAGGAAACACCTGAAGAAATTTTGCAATTTTATTTATTTATTTGAACCATTTTGTGTTTCAGATAGAGTTAGCCAGCGCAAGTGAGGAAGAGATCGATCCCGCCATCATGAGCAAGAAGCCGACAGCCGGACCGGCGCTCCACAAGGTCATCATGGTGGGCAGCGGCGGCGTGGGCAAGTCCGCCCTTACACTCCAGTTCATGTACGATGAGTTTGTCGAGGACTACGAGCCCACCAAGGCCGATAGCTATAGGAAAAAGGTATGCATTTGGGGCTATATGAAAGGGTCTTGAGAAACTGAGGAAATAAAGCTACATATAATACTTAAGTAGTTAAGAACAGAATCTTTAGGAAATAATCGATAAAACACGATATACGATAGTTTTTAAAGAAATTATCAATGTTATGAAGCCAAAATATAGTTATAGGGTTAACCCTAAGTACTGGGTATCATATAGTACTCCTTTCACTTTAAAAATAAACTAAAGCCAAGGTTAGAAGGTCAATGACCAGTATCGGGTATCGTATAGCCGTTTATTTAGTCCAATTTTCATACGTTTCCACCCACAGGTTGTGCTGGATGGCGAAGAAGTACAAATAGATATATTGGACACGGCCGGCCAGGAGGACTACGCCGCCATCAGAGACAACTATTTTCGCAGCGGCGAGGGTTTCCTCTGCGTCTTCTCCATCACAGACGACGAAAGCTTCCAGGCTACCCAGGAATTCAGGTGAGTGTGTCAAGCGGTGTCGCCTCGTGGGCTATTTCCCCCCGAGTTTTCCAGCCATCCTGCCTGCCCCCCTCCCAAGTCGCATGTCATGGGGTCTCATGTCGCCGGTTTGTTTGTCTCTAGCTGACAAGTGTCGTGGTTTTCTTTCTCACACAACAAGTACATTCATTTTTCTTTTCTTTGCATCTTGTTTTTTTTTTTATTTGTTTTATTTTTTAGCTTTGCTAATTAGTCACAGAAACTTGTGGCGGAGAGGGGGTGCTGGTGGCTGGTGGTGTGTTTTAAGTGTGTGCAATAAATCTTTATTCATGCCCAGAGGGCTTTGAGAATAAGTAAAGAAATACCTTGTATTACTTTTCAAGGAGTATTATATTTTTAATGATGTACTGTAAATTTTTGTTGATTTTAAATGAAATTAAGTCTTGGGGTTCTTGAAAGGACTTTTAACTATCTATTTGAGCTTAAAATATATTGAAATAAATATAAATTTGTATATCACAATAATGAAATAATGTATTTTCTTTAATTGTAATTATTTGTACTAGTTTTTATTTTGTATTCAAAAGAAGATCATGAAAGTTTATCAATAGTTTTTAAATCATTTCTATGATATAGTCTCTCCTCAAGGGAAGTCACACTAAGAAAGTTCTTAATATTCTTTTCCTTTGTCACCTTAGCTCTAGAATTCAGAGTTTAGATACCATAGGATTATCAAGAATCATTTACTTATAGAGGCATTTACTTAAAGCTAGGCCTAAGACTTTTCTAATAGAAAGCCAGACAACATCGACGCATTTTCGCACAAGCATCGAAAGCCATAAATTTCACTTAGTTTATGCGACCGTATTTTTGTGAAACTATAGCCTTTTAAGCGTTATATTTATACTTCATACTTCCTCATACTTCAAAATAATAGTATTGATCAGCACAGTTTCAAAGGTAAAATTCAAACTTTTTCAATAAATTAACGTGAGAGTTTAATTTAAAGTACCTGCCACCTGAGGTGAGAAGTCTGCTGACTAACCAAAAGTTAACCAAACAACAGCCGCATATAGCTCTTTATAATTCAATTTATAAATATCGTGCCGGCCACTTTCGTCACTCGACTCTCACTTGTTTACAAAATAGAAACGAAATACATAAGCATTCCATGCAGAGGGGGAACATGTGACAGATAAGTGGTTATCACTCCTGCAATTCTGATTCGGAATGACTCAGAGCGAGTACGTGTGAGAGTGCGTGTGTCATGCCAGTTAATGGCCGGCAAATAAACAATAAGCCGGCGCACTCATATGCACAGCAATGTGCCTCGTATTCTGGTGTTATGCAAGCCCATCATCACCTGGATGCGGCAGCGCATAAATACCAGGCCTGGCCAGCCCCCCGAGGGCCTAAACACGCCCTCGCCAGCCTTTGTTGGAATTTATGCGCCTGCAGTTCTATAGCTTTGGCCCGATTTGAATAACTCAATTAGGCTGATGGAAGTGGGCGAGATAATCGCACTGGCCTGATGGGAAAATGGTCAAGTTATTCAAAGAGGGGCGTCTCTGTGGAAGCGACGCGTTAGAAGCTCGGAATTTATTCACAAAATTAGAGCTTGTTAGTTGTGTTTGAAAAAAAGTTAGTTGCCACAAAATAAATGAATATTATAGCTATTTTTAAACATTGTATACCAAACGGATGATAATGGAGTTCTAGGATGATATAAGGCTTTATAACAAATTAAAGCTTATCTTCTTCAAGATACTATAATTAAAGGTGGTCTCGTCCATTATACCTTCCTTAGCTAGTCAAATTTATAAAATTTCCTTCATTTTCTTTTTTTTTTAATTGAAAGCTTAACACTTATACTCTGAGGACCTAGTGGGATATAGAAAATTTTGAAAAGCCCTACCGACTATATCTTCTAGTACATTATGGTATTATGGTACATACCTACGGAAAGACTTAATGTTGCATACTTTAAAACTATAAAGCTTGAAACTAATGAAACTTAACTAGTTCTTGTATCCTAGTCCCAGTTCTAGTATGTGAGGTATAGTAGCTTGTTGCTATGAGAAACCTAAACAGAAAGCCACCATCCAAGTACCGGGTATCATGTTATGCTTATACCTCCTTGAAACTACCATTTGAATTATGTTTGCATTTAAGTCCTCTTTTCAAATCCAGTATTAACCATTTAAACCCTCTTGCAGAGAACAAATCTTGCGGGTGAAGAACGACGAGAGCATACCCTTCCTGCTTGTGGGCAACAAGTGCGATCTGAACGACAAGCGGAAGGTGCCGCTGAGCGAGTGCCAGTCGCGGGCGCAGCAGTGGTCGGTGCCTTACGTGGAGACCTCGGCCAAGACGCGCGAGAACGTAGACAAGGTAAGGGTCGGCACTCGCCTGCCATCGAAGGACATTAATGAATTGAAAAGAACAGAAAATAAATATTTAGGAAGAAAACAGAAACCTCTTTGGAATTGGCAAGCTAAGAAGTGTTTTGAAAACGAACAAAATAAATGCACTTTTATTTCTACATGTGTATGTCGCCTTAGTTGACTTTTATTTCACAAATATTTAATGGATTGATTAAGCTTTGATTGTTAGTTTTTGTGAAACAAAAAAACAAGACCCAGTACAAAAAAAAAACCACAAGTTGCTGAGTATTTTCGAAGCACTCGTTGTATTTCTTATCGATTGTTTAAGTATTTTTGATAACCTTTTTGATATTTTGATAGTTTTTGAATTTTTTTCCTTTGCCCAGAAAATTAATCTGTCAGGGAAAGTACCAGCTGGGCTTCCATTTTTTTTTTTTGCTTAGTTTTTAAAAATTAACCCGGGAGTCTACAATAACTCCATATCTCTTGGGTTTTTCTATCTTTATGGGTACTTGATTCAAGGTTCTGCCAAATGATAACGTCTAGTGGGGGCTTGAGATTACAGTCATTATAAGACTTAACATAAGCAGTGTGTAGGGTATTAAGTATTTTTAGTTGTTAGGCTTTTAGTTTTTAAGAATCTTTCTCGAAAAAACACACACAGATACACACCAACACAGCTACAAATAATGCACTCGAAAAAAACAATGCTTTTTAAATGTGTTTTTAGTTTATTTATTATTTTTTTTTATAATTTTGTAATAAATGCCAATGCCAAGACAATGTAGTTGATAGTATGTGTGTGTTGGTTTTTGACTTTTTATTTCATTCTCTGACTATGACTCTGATGCTGATTCTGATTCTGATTCTGAACATGACTTAATTCCCAATCCACAATTGCAGGTGTTTTTTGATTTGATGCGCGAAATAAGATCACGAAAAACCGAAGATTCAAAAGCCACGAGCGGGCGTGCTAAAGATAGATGCAAGAAGCGGAGACTTAAGTGTACCCTACTTTAGGCATTAGGTGCATACAATATCTATACAATCTCTCTCTATCTATCTTTCTCTATAACTACCCAGCTACCTTACCCTAGACTACTAGTAGAGCACTCCACTTCCCCTAAATCCACCTAACCCGTAGACACAGTAACCGCACAATCCCTGGCTTGAAATCCCCCCTAGCTTTGCTTTGCCACTGTTTCTACTAATCTACTTGGTTTATTCCTTTTTCATATAGTTTCTGATTGAGTTTCTTAATCGTTCAGTTATTTGTTGATTTGCCCACAAGGTACACTCGGAAACACTAACATTTGATAAATATTTGCTCTTTGCCGGATATTTGAACTTGATCTTTTCGACTAAGAGAGGTTAAGGGTTGCTATGAACAAAAGTTTCATAATGGGTCTCTAAAAAGTCTATTTAAATTAAGAATAGCACACTAACACACTCACACTCCTGTACAAAAACACACACAAACACGCTTTTTCAAAAAAAAAAAAAAAAAAACCATTTTTTGAAATTATTTTTAAGCATTTCATTGATTTTCTAGAGTTTGCCTGAAGTTTTTACTGAAATTTGTTTGGTTTGGTTATAAAAATAAACAAAAACCTTAGTTTCTGGTGTAAAATATTTGGTTTACTTCTCACCTTTGGTTTCTAGAAGCTCTTCAAAATTTCTGTATTTTAGAAAACAAACTTAACCCCACCCACCACTACAAAAATAACAATTATGCCACATGATAATGTAACCGAAAACTAATGGTGTGCTTTGTATTCCGTTTAGGTATTTTATGATCTAATCAGGGATATTTCATCGCGTAAAAAACAACGTCAGACGGACGTGAAACAGCCGCCGAAGCCCAATTCTCATTGCTGCCAATTGCTGTAGGATGGAACAACAAAATAAAAACTAAAATATAAAATTAAAACATGAAACAAGCAACAACAACCACACGATGAACAACTGCAGCAGCAAACAACAACAACGGCCACACGGATAAATAAAAAAAAAAATCAACTGGAAAGGAATACATAAAACAAGAAAAAAATAAAAAAAAAACAAAGAACAGAACGATATGTTAATAAATAATTAACTTAGACTAAAAACAAGAAACACCACACAGCAGAGAATATCAAAATTATTTGCGACACTCCAACAACAAAAAAAATTCAAGGGAAAAGCATTGTATTTCGAGTAACTTGCATTGTAATATACATAAACTATATTATTTAGGCAACAAGATGATGTCCCACAAAAACCATCAGATCATTGAGATCCGCACGCAAGGCAGGTTTTGTAGAATCTGTCGTTGCGCTTTCGTTACTTCCTCCATTGATTTCCAAATTTTTGTATTTTTCCCACAATCAAATGTTGAAACTAAATTATAAATAAAAGTGAATCCATAAAGCGCAGGCTTATTAATGTAATCGATCTTAGAACGCCTAAAGTATGCAATTCAATAAATGCTATAATACGTCTCTTGTTCACTTTTATATTGCGTGCATATATATTATTATACACTATTATTATTATTATTATTCTTTTTTTTTTGTAATTTAAAATAAATAGCAAAATGCAAACAAACAAAAAAGAACACAACAAGAAACCACACAGAAAAGCTTTTTATAAATACATCTTAATATATAATTAAACGTATACAAAATAGTCTAAAGTAAAAAAAACACACACACAACACTTAAAACGCTAGAAATGGGAAAGTATCTCCAATTATAATTGTAAACGAAATGAATCGAAACAAATTTTTAATGCAATTTTTGTAATTTTTTTTAAACTAAAAGCAAAACGATTAGAAGGAGATGAGATATAAATAATATATTGAAAATGATTGTAATCGGGAAGCCGAACACACTAATGGTTATTTTCTTTCATTCTGAATCACATCCAATATACATGTACACTGGGTCCGTATACTCCTTGGAGATATATGTGGCTACTACTCCCGATTGATTTGCTTCTTTGTTTACTTTTGTAAAACTGCATTCTGTATTGTACTGTTTAAGATATTATTATTATGGTAAATATTATTATTAAATATATAAGTTATATACGCAATTATTTGATGGATGGTTCCAGTTTTGTACCAAGCATTTCCCAATCTCCTATCCTTTCTTCGTCAAATGTGTGAAAATTGTTACTATATCTAAACAGACACGTGTACACTCTTAAAAACAAAAAAAAAATGCTACGACACTCGAACACTCTTCTCTTCCACGTCCACACACACTCGCTCACGTCATGTTTCCAAAATGAAAAACAAAAGTAATAAAGTTCAGCCACAACCCGCATTTTTTATATAAATATATATATATACATAACTATTATTACGAGAGTTCAAAACGGCGATGACGGAGCGTAATGTTTAGCTTGACTCAAAATAAACCGAAAAATATGTGAAATAAAACAAAAACCCAATAACGTGTTATTATTTAATTTTCTAATGTGGGGAAATGGGAAAAGTCGTTGATAATATGGTAGTTCGGCCAATGTCCGTCTGTCTGTCGGTTTCTATGAGAACTAGTCTATCAGTATTGAAGGTATCGACTTGCACACACCTTTCTTTCCTTTGCACACAGTACTGACGGGATCGGCCGACTATATCTTATAGGTGGCAAGTAGCTGATTGATCGGAAACACCATAACTTTGGTGTTTTTATAATCAGAGTTGGCCGTCAGCAAGCAATTGCGTGCCGTAACGTGCGACTATACTCTCCACGTCAGGGCGGCTGGAAACGGGTCCCAGTAAGGTCATGTCTCTGCCGTGGATGCTGGCAAATTGTAGTATTCCTCAAATCACCCCAATCCAAGGTGGGAGATTGCGTGTTCTGGGTGTCCCGCCGAACTCCCAATTTCAACCAGGCTTATCGTGACAAGCGGGCTATGTCATGATGGACGAACCCCCTCCCGCCTACTCGTAGGACTGAAACATGAATAACATTTTACCAAACAAAAACCAAAGCGGAGAACTTCCTAAAAAATTCCGGAAATGGGGTCAGTGACCCGCCAAACTCCAAGGCCCTCAAAAGCCAAGGAGTTGCTGAGATGGAGAAGCCACAGAGGGGCAACATCTGGAGGCGGGAAGCGCCGGTGCGTAGGAGACTGCCAAGGCATTTTCTTCCAAAGCGGGGCTAGCCATGGGACCACCGAACGGCGTGGAGAGGAAGACGCCGAAAGACCCCAGGGTCAACCTCTAAACCAACTGGCGGGGCCCCTAAGGCGAACCTTGGTCCGGGAGCGTCTCACTCGACGCAGCAGTGCTCTTATAAAGATAGGAGGCGAGCAGCCTTCATTTTATTATGAGATTATTGGGCAAGGGAGGTCCTGCCCGACTTCAAACCGGAAAGCGCGAAAAGGCAGAGAGCCACGGAGGGAGGAGCCCCCAAGCCAAGAAGAGGAAACCCAGCCGCAGCCGTCCAACCGCTCGTTCGCCGAAGCGACGAAGGGAAGAACCCTTATTGGAGTCCTGGACAAGGGTTCCAAAGATGGGCTCATCCCCAAGGACCTTTGGCGACAAGTGATCAACGAGCTGCATTGACGTTTCGGGGAGGAGATGCTACAGAGCGGAGGACCCCCACCAGAATGCGAAGGCGCAGGATGGTAGCAGGGTAGCGTCAAGGCCTGCCAAGACGCGCGACCGGTAGAGACCTACAAGCGAATGGTAGCATCGCTTGGAGAGGTCTACTCCGGAGCTAAGCTGGTGGCCGTTAACTGGGAGGAGATCACAAGCAAACCGAGGGCGCGAGTGTGGCTCACAGAATAGTCAGCCGACCCTAAGACCATCCTGACAATGCTTAGGATGTGCAATCCGACCCAGGACCTCCGCCAAGGAGGAGGCGGTAGAACTGCGGAGGCATATCGTCCTCACACGCAACGAGGAGACCGTGAAAGCCCAGGAAAGGTCGGAGCACCGGTTAAAGTATGGATTCTAGCATGTAACGGTCATCAGTGGGCAATTATCAGAGGAGAAGCACTGACACGAACGAGAGGGGTGAGTAAATCTTCGATTTTATCCTAGGCTCCAATCTTCTGGTGGGTAACAGGGGTACAGAACCCACCTTCATAGTCAAGAACAGAAGAGAAGTACTTAACATTACTCTTTACTCTGACTCCCTAGCTGACAAGATTGTTAGATGGGGATTCCTAGAGAAACACTCTTTCTTGGACCATAGATAAATAGAATTAGTTCTGCACGAACATTCAACAGACATCGGAGGCAGGGCCGTAGCTAGCATGGGGTAGGTGAGGCGGTGCCCCAGGGCCCCCGAAGGGAAGGGGCCATTGGGGCAAAAGACTTCCGTATAGGGGGCCCCAAATTTACTTGTTGTCCCAGGGCCCCCGAGGCTCTAGCTACGGCCCTGATCGGAGGCCTCCCGACTCCGGAAGGTCCTCGCAACAACTGCACCAAATGTAGGTTACATTAAAACCTCGGAAGGTAATTGGACCACGTCCAGCAAAGAAACCCTTGAGGCCCTCACAGCGGGACATTTTCCGGCTTTCTAGAAGAAACAACCCTGGAAACGCAGAGACAGAGGGGACAGCCCTTCCCTCCCTAACCAACTCGAATACCTATTGAGTGACAGGTGGGCGACAAACAGCTTCAAACCTTTCAAATCCCCAGGCCCAGATGGCATTGTTCCGGCTCAGCTGCGGACGAAGGTCGTATTCATACCCAAAGCGGGAAAACCTTCGCACTGCACCCCTAAGGACTTTATAAGCCTATCGTCCGTTCTCCTCAAGACAATGGAGAGACTAATCAGCCTTCACATTAATCTTACCATCAACCCAGATGATATCTCGGGATCACAGCATCCGTATAGGAAGGGCCGATCCACGGAGACGGCTCTCCACGAGTTCACTACTTTCGTCGAAAAGGCACTTAGTGACAAGGAATACGCACTCATTTCTTTTCTAGACATAGAAGATGCGTTCAACAACTTAAGGCTTCCAAAACTATCAGGAGAAACACTCTCCCTCAGCGGTAGCGCCAAGTACCTAGGGATTACGCTAGACAGGAAACTGGACTAGAAGTCAAACTAGTTTGGGATAGAGCTAACAAGGCAACAATCGCGCTCTAGGACCTCGTCCAATGTTTTAAATGCTAAAATTTTGGGCACACTCAAAATTGTTGCTTCATAAAGCCTATGTGTGGGAATTGTGCCGGAGATCATCCTACTAACTCCAAATCGTGCAAGTCAATCATTAACAACAAATGTATGTGTGGAAACTGCGGAGAAAATCACCCTGCCGGTTTTAAAGGTTGCAAAGTTAGGATGGAACTAAGCAGGAAACTTAAATCTGGAATAAGGTTGAGCAACCCAACAAACACCAGGATCAACGAAAGCCGACACGGACAACTATTCTCCATGTCAGCTACCAGAGACGGCGTTTCTTATGCAGACATGGCAAGGAATAACCTTCCGAGCAGTACCAGCGCCGCAGCTCCGCAGTCTGCCGCACATATACCAGGAGGCGACTGCAACCCAAACAGGAATCTGTCTACTTTGGAGAAGGCAATCGTCGATATAAGCACTAGGCTGGATCAACTCTTCAAATTAGTCATGGAAACGATAGAGTCGAACAAGGCTTTTCGCGACCTAGTTCAGGTTTTAATTTCTAGCAAATGACATTGTCAAAAATAAAAATCGGATTATGGAATGCAAGAGGTATAGTAAAGAAAAGTGAAGAACTTACCCTTTTCCTTGATAGCTCAATAGATATAATGCTCATTACCGAGACAAACATGCGTCCCTGTTTTAACTTTTACCTTCCTGGTTATGACCAATACTTTGCCAATCACCCTAGCAACACCGCAAAAGGCGGCTCTGCTATCCTTATCAAGACCGGCATTATCCATACGCAGTGTGAGCCCACGACGACAACAGACTCAAAGCTAGCTTGCATTGATATTCAAACAAATGGAGGTCTACTTAAAATAGCTTCCGCCCAGCCAGCCT